TACGCACCGCTGACCCCGAACGTCCGCAAAATAACCAGATGGACTTCACGAGCCGCACAAAGTCCGACGTGCCGCTCGCCCCGAACGTTCACCCCCCCCCCAAAAAAAAAAAACGCGCAACTTCACTCACCGCTCACCGCGAACACCCACAAAATATACCGATTGGAGTTCACTGCCCGCGCGAGTTTAGACGTTGTTCCGACCCCGAACGCCCACAAAAGATATCAGGTGGAGTTCACTTACCGCGCGAGTTCAGAAATTGTTGGAGGATGTCTCGAGCGAAACGCGATGGTTTTAACAAAACGGTTGAAAACCCATTGTTGTTTCAATAATGTCGCATTCGAGGACCCGTCCGAAGGCAATGTTTGGAGGATGTCTCGAGCGAAACGCTGATGTTTCAACGAAAGTGTTCAAACCACATCGGTTTGTCAGTACTTTCGCGTCTTGGGCCATCTTGGAGGCCATCCGAGATCGCCCCGAAAATATGCCTTACAAGACCTCTGTCGGCATCCAATTGTTTCGAGGATGTCTCGGGCGAAACTCCCAGTTTCGAGGATCCAAAAATTAGGCGAGCGATTTCAAGACCTTCATGTTTGGAGGATGTCTCTGGCAAAACGCCCACGTTTAGCAAAATACGTCTTATGATGCAACCCCCAACTTCAACATGTGGCAAAGATTTCTCCAGCGAAACGCTCGTTTGGGGAACATGTCTTGACATTGACGGGAAGCGCGTGAAATCAAGGAGCTCGGCAAGAGAGCGCACCAACATGAAGTCCGCATGTCGCGTAGGCGATCTGCCCGAACGCCCACGGGGGATCGAGGCCGATCTTCTTCATGTGGTGCACGGCGAGCGGGGCAGAGGCGCACCTGGGCGCATTCGTCAGCCACTGAAGCCCCTCGCGAGGCCTGGCGCACACAAACTTGCTCGTCTCGCAGCACTGGGAGACGCGAGAGAGGACAAGGAAGGCGAACGCGCAGTCGGCAGAGAGGGAGAGGGAGAGGCCATGCTCGAGACCCTCGACGCACGCGCATCGCTCGAACAGCTCCTGAGCGAGCGAGCACCAGCTCGTGGAGCACCCACTGGGGCCGGCGACCACGTCGAGATATGGCCGGCCCACTGGGCCCAAAACTAAACTCTGCTATGTTCTTCTTGGGGGCACTGCGCGTGAACAGTTGAACTGAGGTTTCCTCGTCAGGAACGCGTACCATGGTCTGGCAGTTCTCGAGATTCAGGACCAGGCCCGTCCACTGGCACGCCAGCAAAAGCTCTTTCACGACAATCGGGGGCACGGCCAAAAGGTTTCTAGCAACGAACGCCGCGTCGCCTGCACAGCGCGGCAAGATGAATCCGCGCGATTGCTGGCACCTTTTACACTTTGACCGCGACTGGGTGGAGGACAATGGCGAACAGCACCCCGCTCATAGGGCATCCTTGTTTCGCGCCCCGGGAAGCCCCGATGCCGAAACCCGAAGCTCGAGGAAAAGGCGCCAGATCCGGGCACGCAGCGCGAATTCGCGACGCGGACGCGCACTGGCAAGCCTAACCTGTCAAGCACAGCTGCGCGATCCAATCGTGGAAAACCGGCGGGGGCGCCCGTTGAAAGTCGAACAGCGTGGCGCCGCTGTTCTTTAGCCCGCGCAAGTCGCCCCAAAAGTGGTAGCGGGCATCGAATTCCACGAGATGGTCGACGCGAGCAGTCGACGGCGTCAGCGGCAACAGCGGCAACGGCGTGCAGCGGCGAAGCGACGGCAGCCGAAACGATGTTGTTTTCGGCGTTGCTTAAGGATAGCGGCCCAGCGACACTCGGAGGCCCTGCCTCAGCATCACTTCCAGGGAGAGACAGAGAGAGAGCCTTTCGGAAGACAGATCATCTTACAATAGTTTAAAGTGTGGTCGAGCCGATTTCCCGCCATCAGGTGGGTGCACAGGTTACACGGCACGTCGTTGCCCAGGGAACCGATGGCTTTCCACCCGGAGTTTCTGACCCCATCGAGACCGGGAGTCCGAGTCCCTTTTACGCCGGGCAAGATGGACGAAATCACCTTCACTCTAAAACCAAACATGGTAAATATGTGCGCCACTAACAAATTGACCCCCGAAGCTGCGCGCAGGCGAGAGGCGCTCAAGCAGCGGCGACAGGTTCGCATCTGGATGCGAAGTGTCGGTGGGAACCTCCCCCCGATACTCGGCGAGCAGCTCGGCCATCTTATCTGGCTCGGTGGCGCGCGCCCCCCTGGCTCCACCACGGCAGCAAGATGGGCGCGAGGGCGGGCCCGTGCCCGAGCAGCAGCGAGCCTGCGGACACGCGCGAGATGAGAATCCTACTGGGCACTGGAATAATCATGACCATTCCGAACAGCGTTTCTCCCCTGGCGAACTCCTGAAGCATCATCTGCCGAAACCGCTTAGGGGAGCCAGGCGCATCAGTCCAAACCGCCAGTTGCGCGTCGCAATACTCTGGAAGCTCCGAGAAACCAGAGACGGCCCGGCAGGCCAGACGACGGCGGCCCCACGGCGGGCCCTCTTTGGATGGGTCACATACGGCCCCAAACTCTGCAACGCGATATTTGACCTCCCTGGCAACGGCATGCATGGGGATCTTCGCCTCGAGCAGGGCCGCGGGCGGGTCGAGGCTGATCCCGTTGGCCTCCACCAACGAGTCGAAGCTGGCACGAAACTGGGCTCGCCTAGAAATCCATTCTGGGATAGGAGGAAAAGGGATATCACCCCTACCCGCGTTAGCACCTTGGAACGACAAGGGCGATGAAGGGGGCGACGCGCTAGACGCACGGGCACGTGACCCGATGGAACAGCATGATCGGAAATATCTCAGCCGGCGGCGGAGATCGGGTTGAAGTCGAGGTCGACGGGGGTCGGCAGGCTAGCGAGCATTCTGTCTAGTCGAGCACAGCTTGGAAGCGTACGAACGTTAGCGCGACGCGTGTAGCGCGGCTGGTCAACTCCGACATATGAAGGGAAAGATCGCATCGACATGCTTAGCGACCCTAGAGAACGAAGCGAGCGTTTCTCCCGAACCCACGACATATCAGCTTTCACCCGCCATCGAGAAGTCAAAGTCACCAGCGAGGAAGGATGTGGCGAGAAGACCGGGGGACAAGCGAGTGCGTGAAGAAAAAAGTACAGCCTTGGTGAGAGCCCCGCTCCAGTCTGTCACGAGATGCAAGTTGGCGATCTGGAATCGCCCACGCCGCCCCCATAGCGACACTACATGAACACGGCCGTCGACCGCAGGAACCTCGGAATGCCCTGAGAAGAGGTCGAAGAAGGAGGCCTTAATGACGGTCACCGCACCTCCTGCACCCTCGGTCTCCGAGAAGAACCCAAAAACGTGAACTCCGGGAAGTTCGCTGCTGAGAGTATCCAGATCCCCGGGACACACGTGAACCTCCTGCTGACGCACAATCGCACGCTTACTAACAAGCTTACGCAGGATCTCCAATGTGGGCTTACATCGCTTCCCAGGGAAGTGGGCAGAGTAAAAGAACGCCCGGCAATTCCACGGGCATTAGCTCAGGACCTGGTCAGGAATAACGAGATCAGACGTCGTCGGTGAATCTAGATCAGCGCCAGGCTCACCCCCACCTGCAGCTGCACGGGTCTGCCCTGGAAGAACTTCCTATTGTGCGGCCTGGGCTGCGCTGATGATCTTCTCAACCTGCTGGACGGAGATGCCCCGGTCCGCGAGCTCGTCGCCCACGGGACCGAAGTTAAACTGGTCGATGCTGATCTGGCTGGCCGAGATTAGGGCCCAGATGTCGTCGCCGTTCGTGCCGAAGAGGGTGACCTTGAAGCCACTGGCTCCGAGCCTGCAGCCTTCTGATCACTTTGCCCTCTTGCCCACGAGTTCGCGCATGGGCGTGCACAACTTCGAGAACTGCCGCTGCTTGTCCATGACGCTCGCCAAAAAATCGCCACGAGCACGGAGAGGATATTGCTTACCGTTACGCGGGTCGACCCACGTCATAGAATTGGCCGCCATCTGGAGGCGGAACTCTTTGGATTTGTCCGTGGTCGGGAAGGTGATGACGCACGACAGCGCCATGCGGTGGAACTCGCCCGTCGAGCCAGCCACAATGGAGAAGTTCTGCTTGATCTGCTCATAGTGTCCACGGCGGACCTTGTCCAGCACGGGTCCGGGCCACGTGCCGATCCACATCCTGCGAGCGCCCGAGGGAGGTGTTGCACCACTCTCCGAAGTTGCCGCGCCGATGCGCCTCATTTTGAAACGGTTTGATGATTCCGTCACCGACGAGGCCGCAGTAGAGCCTCCGTCAGAAGCTTATTTCGCACGTACTCGTTGGTCCAGCTGCCAGATTGTCTCCTGCTGCGCGCTCATCTTGGCCACCAGCTCGCCGATGTGCCTGTTGGATTGCTCGGAGATCGGTGCAAGCTGCGACGTGACCTCCGCAGTCACTTTCGTGTTCGCAGTGCTGATGAACTCGTTCATCAGCTCACGCATGCTGCCAACCGTCAGCGGCGTGGTGTCTCCCGACATCCTGGCGCGGCGGAAGAATGCACTAGGTTGGCTCGGATGAGCCCTGGGAAGAGAGGTCGAAAAAATGCCCATATGGCCCTGTGCCAGCTTGAGCGAGGTTGGGAAGTTCAGGAGCAGGCCCCTTGAGCCAAAATGGCCACGGAGGAGGAGGAGCAGCAGGACGGACGGACGGACGGACGCGCAGGACGTCCCTGGAGGAGCAGCACGAGGAGGAGGAAAAGATGAAAGAAGGAAGACGGGCGTGGGAGGAGGAAAGGGGGGAGCGTGGTGACGCGTTTCGGCCACGTCTGAGGGGCCGTGCTACACCCAACGACGCGTGTAAACCCTCGGGCAGTCACCGAAGCCCCTTACCCAAACATGAACACACCGCCGACAAAGGATGGAGGAGGAGGAGGAGAAGGATGAGGAGGAGGGCGGAGGACGGTGGAGGAGGACGGCGGAGGAGGACGGAGGAGGACCGAGGACTGGGGAGGAGGAGGGCTCCTGGAGACGCTGGCGGCGGCGCCGCGCTCACGCTTGAGCGCCTCGACGTTCCTGAGGCGCGGGAGGGCGTCCAGTCTGTCGAGGAGACGGGCTCGAGGCGCGAAGACCGAAGATCCCTCAAAATCTGGGCGGTGCCTGAAAAATCGTGACGGCCTGCTCTGCGAGGTCTTCGGCCTCTGCGGGCCGTTTCCCTGCCCCGGGACCGTCAATGAACGACTCAGGTCGAGAACCTCGGGGCCCGACGTCACGAACAAAATACCGCGTTCGGAGGACCGAGGATCGAGGCCCACCACTGTGGCTCAAGCCTCTTTCGGTTCGAGCCTGTAGCCGAGCAGGCCCCAAAGCAGAGGCCCGCTTTTCAACCCGAGGAGGACGAGGAGGGAGGAGGAGAAGGGAGGAGGAGGACGAGGAGGGAGGGAGGACGAGGAGGGAGGAGGGAGGAGGGAGGAAGAGGAGGGAAGAGGGCGAGGAGGGAGGAGGGCGAGGAGGGAGGAGGGCGAGGAGGGAGGGAGGGCGAGGAGGGCGGAGGACGAGGGAGGAGGGAGGAGGGAGGCTCCCCAACCCGAAGCTCCCCAGCCGGTGCGAGAGGCCGCAGACGTTGCCCGCGGCGAGGCCCGGCAGGTGGCCCCCGTAGCCGGGGATGCTCGCCACGGCCAGGGCCTCAGGGCGCGGCCTCGAGCCGAGCGGCACCTCGCTGGGGGCGGGCGCCTCGCTGTCGACGTCTCTCGACGTCGTCGTCATCGTCGGCGTCACGGCGTCGGCGTCGGCGTCGGCGTCGGCGTCGGCGTCGGCGTCGGCGTCGGCGTCGGCGTCGGCGCCAGCGTCGGCGTCGGCGCCGTCGTCGGCGCCGTCGTCGGAGGCAGAGCGGAAAAAGGTGGCCGTCTTCGATGGCTTCTGTTGGGGGGGGGGGCCCGCCGTCACTGCGAAGTCCGCGCCGAAATCCTGCCCCGGACGCGCTCCAAAAAAAAGGTCGGGGAATCGTTTCTGCCGGTTCACACGGTCTAGGTGGGTATGGAACGAATGGGGACGAAGACTGACAGCAATTCTTGCCCATTTTGAACCAGATTTGCTGTCGGTGCCGCTGCGGGCCTTGTCCAGGTGAGGCAGACGACCACCTGCCCAACAGCGGCCGCTGTCGGTGTTGCACAATGTTTGGTGTTGGACCTCGGAAGATTTTCTCCGTACCCACGTCGGGCGTTCCGAAGCGAAGAAGGGCCAGTCCTCCAGGCGTCGCGGGGGGGTGGGGGGGGAAAACGGGCCAAGCAAAACATGTGCACGTGCCTTCTCGCTAATTTCGCCTCAGGCGCCTGAGGGATCCGCTTCAGGGCCCCAAGACAATCAAAAACGTGCACCAGGTCCATCAAGAATTGGAGGCCTGGACATTGGCACCAACACCAACACAGGGGGGGCCTACACGGAGGAAAGATTACCTTAGATTTCGGTGCTGGTGGTACTCTCTGGGCCACTTAATCAGCGAGTAGATAAACACCATCAACGAGATTTGGATCTTCTTCCCTCGGTGGAGGCGACCGCCGAGAATGGTGCTGGCGCCAACCACTAGGCCTCCGAAGGCAGCTGCCCGCGACGAACCGCCCGGCCCTAGGATTTGGACCGAGAATTCCAGGCGCGAGGGCTTCCGAGAAGACCGCGGCCTTCGAAGAAGGCCTGCCCCCTGCAGCCCGCATGCATCTCCCACACCCACCAAAACGTTTCGCGGCCCCGTAGGGAGCCCCACCTAAGGCCCAAGTGGCGCAGCCCGCATGCGTCTCCCAAACCCAGCACAGCGCTTCATGGCCCCATAGGGAGCTCAACCGAAGGTCCCAGTGGCGCAGCCCGCATGCGTCTCCCACACCCAGAAGAGCGTTTCGTGGCCCCATAGGGAGCTCCACCGAAGGTCCCAGTGGCGCAGCCCGCATGCGTCTCCCACACCCAGAATAGCGCTTCGTGGCCCTATAGGACCGAAGGTCTGAATACCACTGCCTGCACGCGTATCCCACACACACACAGAGAATTTCGTTGACGGGCCCCATAGGGAGCCCCACTGGAAGTCCCAGTGGCGCAGCCCGAATGCGTCTCCCACACCCAATACAGCGCTTCTTGGCCCCATAGTGAGTTCCACCGAGGGCCCCAGTGGCGCAGCCCGCATGCGTCCCCCACACACACACACACACACACACACACACACACACACACACACACACACACACACACACACACACACACACACACACACACACACACACACACACGGTACACCGTTTCGCGGCCCCGCAGGGAGCTCCACCGAAGGTCCAAATTGTGCAGCCCACATGCGTTTCCCCCACCCACTAGAGATTTTGTGGCCCCCTTGGGAGCTCCACCGAAGGTCCCCGTGGCGCAGCCCGCATGCGTCTCCCAAACCAAGTACAGCGCTTCGTGGCCCCATAAGGAGTTCCACGAAGGCCCCCGTGGCGCAGCCCGCACGCGTCCCCCACACCCAGAACAGCGCTCCGTGGCCCCGCAAGGAGCCCCGCCGAAGGTCCCAGTGGCGCAACCCGCATGCTTCTCCCACACACACACACACACACACACACACACACACACACACACACACACACACACACACACACCACAGCACTTCGTGGCCCACAAGGGAGCCACACCAAAGGGTGGCGCAGCCCGCATGCGTCTCCCACACCCCGTACAGCCTTTCGTGGCCACATAGTGAGCTCCACCGAAAGTCCCAGTGGCGCAGCCCGCATGCGTCTCCCACCCCCAATACAATCTCTCGTGACCCCATACGGAGCTCCACTGAAAGCCCCAATGGCACAGCCCGCATGCGCCTCCCATCCACACCCAGAACAGCGCTTCGTGGCCCCATAGGGAGCTCCACCGACGGTCCCAGTGGCGCAGCCCACATGCGTGTCCCCCACCCAATACAACGTTTCGTGGCCACGCAGGGAGATCCACCGAAGGTCCCAATTGCGCAGCCCACATGCGTCTCCCCCACCCACCACAGACTTTGTGGCCCCATAGGGAGCCCCACCGAAGGTCCCAGTGGCGCAGCCTGCATGCGTCCCCCCCACCCAGCACAGCGCCTCGTCGCCCCATAGGGAGCTCCACCGAAGGTCCCAGTTGCGCAGCCCGCATGCGCCCCCCACACCCATTACAGCGCGTCGTGGCCCCATAGGGAGCTCCACCGAGTTCCAACTGCGCAGCCTGCATGCGTCTCCAACATTTAGTACAGCGCTTCGTGGCCCCGCAGGGAACTTCACCGAAGGCCCCAATGGCGCAGCCCGCACCCACCCAGTACAGCGTTTCGCAGCCCGCATGCGCCCCCCATATCCAACACAACGCTTCGTGGCTCCATAGGGAGCTCCACCGAAGGTCCCAATGGCGCAGCCCGCATGCGTCTCCCACGCCCAATACAACCCGTCGTGGCCCCATAGGGAACTCCACCGAAGGTCCCAGTGGCGCAGCCCGCATGCGACTCCCCACACCCAGTACAGGGCTTCGTGGCCCCATAGGAAGCTCAGCCGAGTTCCACTTGATCAGCCCGCATGCGTCTCCCCCAGCCAGTACAACGCTTCGTCGCCCCATAGGGAGCTCCACCGAAGGTCCCAGTGGCGCAGACCGCATGCGTCTCCCCCACCCAATGCAGCGCTTCGTCGCCCCATAGGGAGCTCCACCGAGGGTCCCAGTGGCGCAGCCCGCATGCGTCTCCCACACCAAATACAACCCTTCGTGGCCCAAAAGGAGGTCAACCGAAGGTCCCAGTGGCGCAGCCCGCATGCGCCCCCCACACCCAGTACAGCGCTCCGTGGCCCCATAGGGAGGCCCACCGAGTTCCAACTGCGCAGCCCGCATGCGTCTCCAACATCCAGTACAGCGCTTCGTCGCTCCATAGGGAGCTCCACCGAGGGTCCCAGTGGCGCAGCCCGCACCCACCCAGTACAGCGTTTCGCAGCCCGCATGCGTCTCCCCCAGGGGCGTAGCCCGCATGCGTGTCCCACACCCAGTAGAGATTATGTGGCCCCATAGGGAGGCCCACCGAAGGTCCCAGTGGCGCAGCCCGCCTGCGTCTCCCGCACCCAGTACAGCGTTCCGTGGCCCCATAGTGAGCTCCACCGAGGGTCCCAATGGCGCAGTCCGCATGCGTCTGTCCCGCCGGGTGCCGCGTTTCATGGCCCTATGCGGGGGCTCCGCCGAAGACGATACCTAAAACTGCGGTATATGCAACTGCTTATGGTTGGATGTTTCGCTAGGCTGTCTGCACATGCGTCTGATAGATTTAAAAGTTTAGATTCTGAAATGAAATCGTACACGTTACGATTAATAATGCTCAAAGCAATGGGTTCATTTTCTGCGTCATTAACTAAAGCTGCCCACAGCTTTCCTCGTTCGTGAATGTTCTAACCCCTGCTGCGGTCTGCCGCCAGATGAATTATCGCATCCTTTCGTGATTAGCTCGATGCCACTTGCACGTAAGTGTAATATCCTCCATCGAACGCGGCTTCGCATAGTTCGCTAAACCTCACGGGGTTCAAGTTAAATCATCGGTATCGGTCTCGGGCCGTGTTTAATTCCAGGAGTGGGTCTCCTGGGTGAGCGGGTCCTGTCGCTGTTGCTGCCGCGGCCGTCATTAACCTCGCTCCGCTACCATGCAAACTCCCAAAGATGCGCACGGGAACGATTCAATGGTAATGGGATATGTGTTTTAACAGCAACCGCGCGACACGATCAGCTGACAGGTACTTGAGCCAAACGGCGCTGGTAAAATTAACCGTCCGATTCGAACGTTATGATGAGCTCCTCACCCAGTCTTTCAGCTATTCTCTAAGAGGCCCTCCTCCTCCCCCTCCTCCTCCTCCTCCTCCTGCTCCTGCTCCTGCTCCGCCTCCTCCTTTGCCCTCTTCCACTCCACTTTCTCTTGCTCCCCGGTTCCTCCGAGGGGGGGGAGGGAGGACGAAGAGAGGGCACCACGAGGGGGGAGGAGGAGCAGGACGGAGGAAGGGAGGGAGGGCAGGAGAAGCAGGAAGGAGGAGAAAGGAGGGAGAGCCGCAGGGCGCTTAGAGCACGGCGGCTACGACGCCGACGCCGATGCCAACGGAAACGCCAACGCTGCCGACGCCGCCGCCGACGCCGACGAGGACGACGACGACCCTGGGGCTCGAGTCGGACGAAAAAGGGGGATAGCAAAGGGGGATGAGCGAATCAGCTCACGCAATAGCCAGCGCAGGAGGCGACAGTGCAACGAGGAGCGCGCCCAGCGGCGGGGCCGAAACCAGCTGCACGCAATCCCCCCTTTCCCAATCCCCCCCACTTCTCGTCTGGACCGCGCGACCCCCGAAGCAAGCTCGGATATAGCTAGGACCCGGGGTAAGGGGAGCTGGCCAGTGATTGGGTCCCAAAGAACTGACCAGAGTCACCAAAAGCCAAGTCTGCCGTAGCTGGTGCTTATTCGGGTGTTAGTGGAACGGGGCGGGGGAGCCTCTCCCGGTACACATCACCAAACCAGGCACCCCGAAACCCAGTCCCGCTAGCGCCTGACAAGCGAGGCCATCGCGGCGACAACGACGATGCCCGACGGACGCGGCGACCGCGGCGGCGGCCGGTGGCGGCGCGCGGCTGCGGCGGCCCGGGGCGGCGGCGACTGCGGCGGCGGCGACCGCAGCGGCGACCGATGGAGACGCGGCCTTGGCGGCGCGCGGCTGCTCGCGCGGGCCGCGGGCGCTGGCGGGCGGGTCCTGCAGGGAAGGGCTCGGGAGCGCGGCGGGGTTGTCGCCGGAACGACAGACCCACAGGGGTTGGTCGATCAAGGGGGCGCTTCCTGCAGTGAACAGGGACACTGGTGCTGGTCTTGCGAGGGAGCGTTTCAAGTGGGGGCTACTGAGGGGGGGACCTGGGACGGGAGGTGTTGCGACATCGTGTGCCATTATTGGGTTTACTCTGGTCCTCCTCCGCCTCTGCCTTCGCCTTCGCCTCCGCCTTCTCCTCCTTCTCCTCCTCCCCCTGCTCCTCCTCCTCCTCCTCCTCCTCCTCCTCCTCCTCCTCCTGCTCCTCTGCTCAATGTCCCTGGAAGCAAAACGCTGGTCCTGGCCCTGACTGAAACACTCCAGAACTTCTGTCGCCTCCCCCTCCGACGCCACTACTTTGACATGTCGCTGGTTCCCAAAACTCTCGATCCCTTCACCTTGAACGGCTCCTCATGGCGGATCATGTTTGGCGGCCACAGGGCTCGGAGGCAGCCGCCGACGACAAGCATTTGAATATACTGCGGCGCGAGTGGTTCAAAACTGCCAGATATCTTCCAGGCATTCGTAAGTCAACCCTGGGTCTGTTCAGGATGCGTTCCGACCAGCGAGAGAACGCAATTCATGGACGCCTGCTGGGACAAGAGCGCCTGGACACGTCGGAACCGGGGGGGCCTAAAACATTTGAAGCGCTCGGGAAACCAGGGGAGGTGGGGGGGCCCGGACACCGCACTCTCTAACCGGGGGGGGGCCTTCCCCTTCCAAGGGGGGGGTGGGGTCGAACCAGGGGGGGGGGCGCGGGGTTCGAAACGGGGGGGGCCTCCCCTCAATAGAACCTTGCTGGTGCTCGATCAAGCTCGAATAGAAGCCTACTACAGCTGGATCTTACGTTAATAATGTCCGAATCGGATTCGACACAACTCCAATGGAATCCTAGCATATCTGGATCCAGCTCTGTTTGAATCGTCCCAGGGCTCGGTCCAGCTCTAATATCATCCTAATGAAGCTGGATATAACTTGACTAGTATCGCAGTCGGGATCGATCCAACTCTAATACAGTCCTAGTATCCGCCACTGTGCCGCTGGGCACGGAATCCCCTGGGGGACCCCGGTCCTCGATCATAGAGAGTCTTAAGAGGCCCGGACTCCACATTCCGAAATGTCTTGAGGCTTCCCGCATGCCCCGTGGCCCCGTCGCGGCTTCCCGCATGAATTTGTCGGGCCCAAGAGAGCCCAATAAGACAGGCCAAAAGGGCCCCAAGAGGCCCCGAAGACGGTTCCAGAGTCGCCGAACGATCGCTCCAAGACGCTCAAGGGGGCCCCCAGACGGCCCAAGAGGCCTCAAAGACGCCCCAAGAGGCATGCAAGAGGTATCCCAGGCTGGCCCTCAAAGGCCAAAATCATTGAATTTCCTGCGGCGTTTGAAAGGTTTTGGCTTTCTCGCCTTTTCGGTTTCCTGGCGCTCCCAGACGGCCCGAGAGGCCCCCAAGATCCCCCCAAGACGGCCCAAGAGGCCTACAAGAGGGCCCCAAAACGGCCCAAGAGGGCAACAAGACAGCCCAAGGGGACCCCAAGACGGTCCAAGAGGGACCCAAGACGACCCAGGAGGCCCCAAATACGGCTCCAAGAAGGGGCCCAGATGGGGGACCCGAACGGACATTTCGAGCCCTCGGCCACAAGGGGGCCCAGGAGGCCCCAAGAAGCCCCCAAGAGGCCGCCAACCCAGGCACGGTGACTGATGGGCGGAAGGCCACAAGATGGCTGGATCCAGTTCTAATTGAATCCTGTTAACGCTCGATCCAGCTCTAACGCTCGACCCTACTATAGCTAGATCAAGTTCCAATTGAATCCTGCTAGGGCTCGATCCAGCTCTAATAGAATCCTAGTAGGTTTCGACCCAGCCTTAATAGCATCCTGATGAGGTTCGATCCGTCGATTGCCACTGGGGAGCAAGGGGGGGATCGGTTCGATCCCCCCCACCGTGAGAGACGCCCCCCCACCCCCGTGCATTTCAGAGGGGGGGGGGCGGCTCGACCCCCCCCCTCTTCCCAGCGTCCACAGAACGTGCCCTGTCCGACCAGAATCTCGAGGCGGATCTAGACGTAGCCACGAGGGCGCCCCCGGAGATCCTAAAAGCCACACTGACGTCCAAAGCTGTCGACCCTTGATCCTGGGTGTTCCCGATCCAAGATATTCCTCCTCCTCTTCCTCCTCCTCCTTCTCCTCCTCTGCGGCTGCGGCTGCGGCATAATGTCCAGACGAGCGGCAGACTGACGCAAGCTAAAGTGGGCACAGCTCAAATCCGACCAAACGAACGAGAAGGAGAGAGATCGAGAGAGAGGTAGAGAAATCAGAGAGGCTTGAAATGCATCTCGCTCGCCTGACCGACTGGTACGGTCGGCGGCCTCTGTTGTGCAGGGGGGGTGGGCCAGGGTCCTCCTCCTCCCCCTCCTCCTCCTCATGATCTTCCTCCTCCTCCTCCTCCTCCTCCTCCTCCACCAGCGCTTTCTCCTCCACCTCCTCGTCATCCTCATCCTACTCCTCCCTCCTTGGAACGGCCGTGGAAAATCTCAGGCCGCACTTGTCCGAGGTCAGTAAATTCTGCACGGCCCGCAAATCGTCGGACAACCTCCTCAAGGGCTCCAAACTTCGCGCTTCGCGCTCTCGCGCCGCCCCCAAAGGGGAGAAGAGGAGGACGAGGAGGAGGGGGAGGAGGAATGAAGCCCGCGAAGCGCGAAGGGCGACTAACTTCGCGCCCTCGTGGGAGCCCTTGCCTCCTGGGACTTCGGCGCGGGCCCAGCCCGCGCGCGGAGCGTACAGGGGCCTCGGGGAGCCGGGCGGGCGCCCCGCGGGGACGGAGGATCCAGAGCCCTGCCCTCCTCGAAACTAGATCCACCGACCCCCGCTTGCAGTGGGTGCAGAGGCGTGCGAGATGATTGGCATAAGAGGGGAGGGGCCTGGGGGGGGGGTCCAGCGCGCAGAGGAGTCCTCAAAGACGACCACGATAGCCTCACGACTGCCCAAGAAGCCTCAAAGACGCCCCAAGAGGGCTCCAAGAAGACCCCCGAGAGGGCCCCAGAAGCAAGAACCGTCTAAATCCTCAGGAAAAGGGAACACGTTGAACATACTCGCATATATGGCCTCAACACACCCAAAACGGCTCAAGAGGCCCCCATGATCGCTTCAAGACGGCTCAAGAAGCCCCCAAGAGAGCCCCAAGACGGCCGAAGAGGGTCCCAAGAAGACAGTCCTAGAGGTGCCAAGTGAGCCCCAAGAGGGGCCCAAGAGAGGCAAGTGGAACTGACATTCCGAGCCCTGCGCCCCAAGAGTACCCCCGAAATCGCCAGCGGGAACACAAGAAACTCCCAAGCGGCCCGAAGAGCCCCAGAGGCCCCGAAAGGCCTCAGCCCTGGACTTCATCCCTCTTCTGGGGGTCGGCGGTGCGCGCAAGCCTCTTGATCATGACATGAACATAGACATACCCGTTCGGAGGCGCCGCGCGGATTTCTCGGATCGGCACTGGATCTCCCTGGCGGCGCCTCCGGCGCCGCCCCTGGCGCGCTCTGCGCGCCAGAGAGGGGGGCTCCAGCGCCGATCCAACAAATCAGCGCCGATCTCCGAAAGCGCATGAAAATGTCATGATTTGTTCCTCGATCTTCCTGCCCGACTCTCTCGGCCCTGTCATGAGGCCTCTGGGAGCCTCCAGTCCCAGACTTGTCCGAGACGCCCGAAACACTTGGCCTTTCGAAAACGAAACCATGAGCGGCACAAAATCGGACCCAGAAGCATCGGGGATCTCTGAGATCCAACAGTTCTGGAGGATGCAACGAACGCCGTTGCCTTTTCGGAGCGCTCCAAACGCTCTGAACGCGGTCCAGGGCGCTCTGGAACGATTCATCCCAATCCTGCCCCCGCCCGACGAGAAGTCCTTTTGGCCTTCCGCGCCCTGCTGGTCCCCGGCCGCATCCGCGGCCGCAGGCAGCCGCTGCGACATCAGCAGCGTGCTGGTGGCCCAGTCCTGGGGCGCCCGCCTGTGCGAGGGAAGGGCCAGGGTTTGACGACTTCTGCTGTCTGCTCCAGAGTTACTCAGAGATCTGTGGATTTACGCCGTTCACCTGGATTTGCATCGGTTTCCGTACATGTACCTTCGACTTATCTCGCTTGATCCCCGCAAGTCGATTGGAGAAGAGAAGCCACACCCTCAGGGAGCCAACGGGGGGTACAAGGGGAGGGAATCCTCGTTGTCCTCCTCCAGCTCCTCGTTTCCTCCCTTTTTGCCGCCCTTCCTGTTTCTCCTCCTCCTCTTCCTCCTCCTCCTCCTCCTCCTCCTCCTCCATTCCTGTTCCTTATAAATCATGTCTCCCTGTCGCACCCCGAGGTCAGTTTTTAGAGCGGGCTGGGCGTTTCGCCTGAGATTTCCCCATCTTTCATGGATCTGAAACTGAAAGTGACAACATATTCACATATGCACGGCGGGTGGTTTTCAAAATGTGGTTCTCGCCTTAGCGCCGCGTTTTCAAAATGTGGCTCTCGCCTTAGCGCCGCGCACATTCGCTGTAAATACTTGTAAGGGTTTCACGGATTGAGGGCGGGTAGTTTGCAAAATGTGGCTCTCGGCTTAGCGCCGCGCATATTCGTTTTACAGTCTGCTGAAGCTTGACGGGTTGAGGGCGGTTCCTTTTCAAAATGTGGCTCTCGCATTAGCGCCCCGCATATTCTTTGTATACAGTTGTAAGAGTTTCACGGATAGAGGGCGGGTGCTTTTCTGGTTCTCGCCTTAGAGCCGCGCACATTCGTTTTAAAATGTTGCAAAGGCTTCACGGGTTGAGGGCGGTTCCTTTTCAAAATGTGGCTCTCGCCTTAGCGCCGCGCACATTCGTTTTAACAAATTCAAAGAGTTTCACGGATTCCCATGATCAACGTGCCAGCAATTGTGTTTTGGAAAGAATCAGGATTATGCGGGTGCAACAATTATGTTGATTCGCGGTGTTGAAGTCCCGAAAAATTTGGTTTTGGCACGATTCCGGATCGTCAAGACGCAGCAGTCTAATTGATCCGCGTCGTTGAAATCCCAACAACAATGTTTTGGCATGCTTCAGTGTCTTCAAACGGTTGTCTTCCAACGAGGCAGCTCCCTCAATGGAAGTGAACCTTTGTAGGGGCCTATGAAGAGAGAGCTTGGAGGGAGAGTTAATTCCAACATCGTTGATGACTCTTGGGTTTGCACTGGTCCTCCTCCTCCTCATCCTCCTCCTCCAACTCCTCCCCTCGCCGCCATGAGACACATACACCCTAAGGTTTCCACGGGCGCAGTTCACAAGAAGTTCTCCGAGTTAAATTTTGCCGAGTTTCCCCCCTTCGAGTCTGGCGCTGCATGGAAACGAAGGCTAATGGTACAGAATGTGGTTTGGAGATACATGATCAACAAGGGTGCTATGCACACATGAGGTTCAGCACGGAAGGCAGTCATGGACATCGGGCCTTGCCTCAGCTTCTCAGCGTCACCAACCAATGCACGTGGTGCATGAGCACGCATTCGACATGTGCGATCTCTCGGCAGCATACTTTCAGATTATTCATCAAATGAAATTGCCAATGCGACCGCAGCCCGATACATCACGAAATGATCCCCCCCCTTGACTGTCGAATGTCCAGCACGCAGTGTCCATCATCCGTCTCTCGTGGCTCTCCGGCGGCATATTCGCACGTACGTTAAGCTCTCAGACGCCACATTCTCGTTCGCTGGCCCCGATGGCGTGGGCGTTGACCGTCGGTCAGAGCGAAATGGATAAGGCGAAGAAGCGCCTTGCGGACGCCTCACCGACGAGCTTGCTGGCCGCTGGCGGCAGCGGCAAGTCGCACGAGCACGCGCCCGAGCACCGACGGCAGAAGGCAGGCCCCTCCGACTCAGCGGCCACCGTGGAGGACACCGACTCGGAGGACGAGACAGCCGTCGAGGTGATGAAGGGATACCTGAATACAGTTCAACGGCAGCGAGCTCTCGAGGGATGCCTCTTCAGCACGCACCTCCAAGGAGCACCAGCTCAACTACGCGACGACGATCGGAGCCGCTCAGAAGTACGCCGACACGGACACGGAGAAGCCCACGGACCACGGCCTGGGACCACCCAGCCAGCAGGTCGGGCTCGCTGCCCTCGTGGCGATCAGCACCCAGAAAGTTCTCAGGCAGAACCCGCACCTGGTGGAGCACCTGAAGTCGCTGGACGCCCTCATTCTTCAACTAAAGGCGCAGCCAATGCCCGTCGCCTGCGAGACGTTACGCTACTGGCGGGCGAAGACCGCCTTCGTGAGGGAAGACGCGCCGCCTCTCGTTCGCCACACGTTGTTCGTCAACGCCACAGGAAGAGCCAATGACCCCAGAAACCAATCCTCCCCCGTCGAGGCCTCCTCCTCCGCCCCCTCGGAATCACCCGAGCAGGCCACATCTGGCCTCCTTAGGATCTGCCTCTGAGAGCGGCCAGGTACAACTTCGGGGAGAGTGGGGCCCCTTGGTGCGCCCAGAAGGCCGTTGTCGAAACAGAACACGAAGCAAAGGCAAAGGTACTGGCAAATCGAATGGCAAGTAGTATGTTCCGCTGCGGTATTTTGTATCGCGAGGGCTCTGAGCGAGGCCCCTCGCCTCGTCTGCTGTCATGGGGGCATGCTGTACCCTCCTTTGAATCTCTCTCGGCCTGGCTGGCCGACCTCTCCCCCGTCTCCCCTTGCTGCCGCCACTCCCCCGCTGCCGCTGTGTCCCCCTTGTCCCCCTCTGCGTCTCCGAGATAGCGTCTGCACGTACAGGCCTCTCGACCCTGTGCTCCAATCAGGGAGTCCCCATGCTGATTGCTGCGGGAGGTGCTCCCCTAGCGTTTTGACGTCGGCGGGAGCACAGTGCCTCCCGAACGCCCTGCGGCCAGAGAACCCATCGAGCCACTCGGGACGTGGCCATGCGCAATTAGCAAGCGAGCGAGCCTCCTCCTCCTCCTCCTCCTCCTCCCCCCGTCCTCCTGCGCATCCTTCCTCTGTGTTCCTGCTCCCTCTCTCCTCCTCCTCCTCCTCCTCCTCCTCCTCCTCCTCCTCCTCCCTCCTCCTCCTCCTCCTCCTCCTCCTCCTCCTCCTCCTCCTCCTCCTCCTCCTCCTCCTCCTCCCTCCCTCCCTCCTCCCTCCCTCCCTCCCTCCCTCCTCCCTCCCCCTCCCTCCCTCCCTCCCTCCTCCCTCCTCCCTCCTCCCCTGGGGTCCGCTCAGAGCGCTGGCATCTTCCCACATCTCTTCCACCACAGATTTTGACCAGTGTGTGTTTCAGGACCTACCAGCAGCCGAAGTAGGATGTCCACCGACACGGTTGGCTGCCATCAGAATGCCGACACTATATACACACATCGGCGGAAAATGCAATCACGGTAGAAGGGAACATGTGACCCTAGTGGGCAGAACCTTCGACCAGCTCTGTTTCAAAACAAGTGCCAAGAAGACGTACCCAACTCGAATGGCAGCTGCTCTGGCCAGGTCCATTTCAGATTCTCTGCAGAACATTGCCGACGACGGCCTGCCTATGTGTGACCCGGAGGAGATATCACAGGGTCTCAGCGAAATGTACGCCAGGCTGGACCCTGACATGGAGCTCGTGCAAGCACCCGACTTCGCGGAGAGAAACAAGAGGAAGGACAGTGGTGACCCTGAGGTGAGCAGGTGGCATTGTTTGCAGTCCTCACCTCCCCCTGTCTTGTCGGCGCCCTCACCCTGCCCTTCCCCCTCCCATCGCCGCCGCATCCCGCCCGAAGTAAAAGGATAGGCCCCCCAGACAGCAGGAGGACGCCGAAGCGCCCCTCGAGGCCGGCCCACCTGCGCCAACCCCTCTCCTCCTCCTCCTCCTCCTCCTGCGCCTCCTCCTCCTCCGCCACCTGTGGAGTTACTGAGGAGCAGAGGGCACGTAGTGCTGCCAACAGGGCCACGTCCAGGGAGCACAGGTTACAGCGAATAGCTCCCTGGCGCGGCGCTCTTGAATTCAAATTCTGGTATGGATTCCTGTATGTTTTTCCTTCCAGGGCTCTCCAGAATTTTCCAGGTAGGTCCTGATATGAGCGCACGTTGACCGTCATGCCACCGTTGCACCACCACCTCCTCCCCCCTACCTCCTCCTCCTCCTCCTCCTCCTCCTCCTCCTCCTCCTCCTCCTCCTCCTCCTCCTCCTCCTCCTCCTCCTCCTCCTCCTCCGCCTCCGCCTCCGCCTCCGCCTCCGTCTCCTCCTCCTCCTCCTCCTCCTCCTCCACGTCCTCCTCCTCCTTCCTCCTCCTCCCTGCTTTGCCGGGCCCTACCCGGCCTTGCCTCCTTCTCATCCTCCCACCTCCTGCGCCTGGTGCACAGAGGCGGTCAGAGTAACGAGGGGGGAGCCCTCTGAGAAGGCACTGGGGGCATTTTGGAAGGGAGTGGGACATCAAAGACTGTACCACGCACGCTCCCGAGAGGCGAGCGCTTTCTGAGGAGGACGCTACCTCCCCGCACCGCGCGCCGGCGACGGACGAGGGGAGGAGGGCGTGATTAGTCTCGGAAGCCGACGACTCTCGTCAGACAGAGCGGGGGGGTGTTCCCGAGTGGTCTGACTTCCTCCCTTGGCAGGCGTCCACTCCTGGGGCACCGCGGGATTTGATGGGGAGAGTCGGCAGGGGGTAGTAAGGGTTGTCAGCAAGGGGGGTCCCACCAGCCCTCTGGGCGTCGGTGGTTTAGGGCGTTTCCGCTTCCACCCCTCCCTCTTCCCCTTCGGAGAGGGGTTGATCACTGTTCCCTATTAACAAACACCCCCTCCCCCAGGCGACTGGGGGCCAACCCGAATCCATGACGACCCCCCCCCCCATCCCTTGCAAAAAACAACACAAAACACGCTCTGCCTCCACATTCGGAACATGCGCAGCCAACCCGATGCGGCCCCCCCCCGCCATCCCTGTGAAAAACATTACAGAGTACACTTGGCGGCGGCGGCGGCTGCGGCGGCTGCGGCGGCGGTGGCGGCGGCTGCGGCGGCTGCGGCGGCGGC